ATAAGCCTTGATTTATTCTTGAAACACTTTGCACAGAGGCGTTTGTAGTTAATTTATTTACAAAAACTAATTCAATGATATTTGAAATTAGCAACACATTTTTACTCGCAATCCCAAACAAAAGTTGAATTTATTCGCGTTTCATTAATTTAATCAGCTGGCAACCATCACCCATCGTCCTCGATGTAGTCGAACTTGGTGCACTCGGATAGTGTTCGAAATTTGTTTCGCTTACTTGTTGCTATGGCGACCGGACAGTACATACGCTTTTTATTCGTCAACAAGCGCTTGCGGAGCTGCCGCTCACACTTTTGAACACAGCCTTTATGCGTCAGTTGTGTGACGCGTCATATCCGCAACATGTTTCTTGAGGCTCGAAAACCATTCAATTCATCTCCTTCAAAAAGAAGTGTTTTGTAACCTTTTCGATATGTATTTTGGGCTTAATTGCTAGCTCTATTCATCCTTTCTTGCGTGAGGATAGAGTCAGCACTCGGGGACCATTCGTTGAAAGCAAGATACAACGACGAGGAGAAGGTCTTGTAAAAAGTCGCAGCGATTGCATTGAGCATTAAATAACGAAAATATGTTTAGCCCCCACCGCCTCAGGCGATCACGTTCACGTGCCGTCACCTACCGGCACCGGCGGCTGGTGGTGCCCAGTCACGGCTGCCGCCTTCTGCACGGCGGCGGTCGGTAAACCGCCGGCTCACAGCCGGCCACCGGTACCGCCGTGGCCATGGACCTCCGCAGACGAAATAAAAACACAATTATTGCAAAAAAAAAACTGTTGGAAACCTTTCATGCCTGAAATGACCTCAGGGAAATAAGGAGGGGCCACGGGTGCAATTTTCAGATTCATTGTATCATGTTTACCGGTATACCCAGTGCATGCGTAAGGGGGCGCCCTGCATTCGAAAGAGAGGCAACTGTGAGACCTGCAGGGGCGCCGCTGATGCCCATTTGGGCGCCTGCATGCAATAGAGAGACGCCTATGAAGCTAAAGGGGGCGCCTCCATGCGAAAAAAGGGTCGCCTCGGGCCCTCGGTAGCAAGAGAGTCGCTTATGAAACGCTACTAAGGGTAGGGCGCCGTCTGTGGCAAATATATAGGTACTGAACAGAAGACGGATAGGGGGGGGGGGGCGCCTTCGGCGCCCGTAAAAAAAGTGGTGCCGACTTTCCGAACTGTCCGCTTTGGTGGTTACGCCCCTGACCTGACCCGACCTGGCCTAAATGCATGAAGACATCATCTGTAATCCAAAATATTTTTCCGACTTTTGGGTCATTGACGTGACATAAGAGGTCACCATTTGACCTATGAACGCCCGTAAATAATGATGCGGACTTTCCGCACCGTCCGCTTGGGTGGTTACGCCCCTGACCTGACCCGACCTGGCCTAAATGCATGAAGACATCATCTGTAATAAAATAACATGATATTCGTGATCAGCATCCCGAAAACCCCTAAAGCAGCCACACTTTACGACGTTCTAACAGGTCCCAATTTTCCCGACTTTTGGGTCAGTGACGTGACCTAAGACGTCACCATTTCACCTATGACCTTAAAACCGGGTACCGGGTACCGTCTTGTGTCGACCTACACGATGTTTTTCCCGCAAGGCTCTAGTTCAATTAGGAGCCAAACGCGAGGGGGATCGTACCAACTTCCCCTCCCCTCGGGCCCGTCGAAGGACGCAAAATGGCCTGTACCGGCGAGGGTTAACATGCAAGAGAAATCGACATGATATCACATTGTTATTCGCATTCATAGGCACGTGTTTTGTATTGCGTAGGTATTGCGTAGGTAAAAAAAAAAATGCGTAGGTGGTAGTACCGGTTGGTTTTAATTGTAAACTAGAGGTACAGGTTTACGCGACAACTGTATGTTTTGATATGTATGATTAACGGATGCATTAATTTGGGTGTAGAATCTTGCATTTTATCGGTATTATTTGCGTAGATTTTGATAACTGTTTTTAACACGCGCACCGACGGGGGTCTGCGCCAACTTAGTACCGACGGGGAGGGGGGGGGGGCGGATGACCGCCCCTCCCCTGAGATCTCGAGAACGAAGCAAGATAGCGACAAGCGGTAAACGGCATCGGATACGCACGGACATGGTCTACAATTTTTACAAAGGTCATTTTCAGGTCAGGTCAAAGATGACGTCACAGGGGTAAAAAGTCAAAATGGCGGCGCTAGATATGGAGAGTTTTTCTCGAATAACTTTAGAATTAGTCAAGATAGGAACAAACTAAGGGCATCATCGTGATCCTCTCGTCAATCTGCATCGAATGATATATATGTTGACTTCGAAAGGTCAAGGTCAAAGGTTGACCTCAGGTCACGTGACCTCGAGGTCATCTTGTATATCATTCGATGCGTCTTGACGAGCTGAACACAATGAGACCATCCGCGCAGCTGTATCTTGTTCCTGTAAGGTGTTATTGGCAAAAAAATCTTAAGTGACCTTTGATGACGTCACATGACCTTACGGCTGCCCAACAGCAAAACAGACCTCAAGGTAGTGAAGGTTGATCGTATATGAAGTCATGTATGGTATATGGGGCCATTCCGACCCGTTTTAGTGGTAAAAACAGGGAGTTGATTTTTCCCCCATTGACTTATAATGGGGAGGTCGCGAAATTTACCTGACCTTAGGTCACCGATATCAAAATTCCGAGATATGCAAATTGTAGCAACTAATGACGTAATAACATCCTGCGACTTTCAAGGGCCTCCAACATCTACTGTAGCTCTGGCACGGTGACAAAGTTGCAAAAAAGTGACTTGAGGTTGGGTCATTCAAAGTGACCTGGTGACCTGACCTGAATAGTAAGGAGGTTCAAACTTGCAAACCATGTGTAAAATTGATGAGAGAATAGTCGTACAAAATTTCGTGGCGCTACGCGCCGTGGTTTTCCCGCTATTCGCGAAAAACCTCAGGGGGGCGGATATCCGCCCCTCCCCCCCGTCGGTGCGCATGTTAACCCTCGCCCTGGCAGGGCATTTTTCATAACAAGCCATGGCGGGGGTCGATGCGACCCCCCCCTCGCGATTGGCTCCTATGGCACCTAGAAACATCAAATTTGGTAAGTAGTTGGGCCTCCTGAAGTTCTCGCCCCTGTGCAAATTTGGTTGTTCTAGGTCAATATTTAGGGGTGTTTTTGGGGGATATAAATGTAAAAATTTCACTAAAAACAGGTCAAAAGTATTTCGCTTATAACTTTTGATCTAATTAAGATAGAGCAAAAAGAAAAGTACCAGTGAACTTAGCACGTCAAGGCGCGTTGAATGATATACTTTTTAGCTTGCTTAAGTGTACTTAAAGCTTTTTCTTAATTTTTAAGAAGACTTTAATTAATTAATTAATTAAGTTCAGGTTAACCAAATTGCATCATATTGCATATCATTCGATTCGGCTGATCACCAGGAACACAATGACATCATTTCTTTAGCTCTAGCATCATTATGTCCCAAGTTATCGGCAAAAACGTCATTTGACCTCAGTTGACCTCATTTGACCTGACCCATGGATAAGTACACCAAACAAAGAAGCACCAAGTGACCTGCTGTTAAGTACTGTGGTTTCAAAGCACAAAAGTGATAGAACGAATATCTCCGGATATACGAAGCGGATATCTCCAGTATTTTCCGAATTTAGTATTTTCCCATAGGCTTAACATTGCGACGCAATGACCTCTAACTGACCTCAGGTCAGTGACCTAAAAAACCCAACGATATGTTATACAACTCGGTGAACTTAGCACATCCTGAAAGTTTGAAGGAAATCAGTCCAAAACTGTGAGTTGGACAGGTGCAAAAAGAAAATTAAAATTTGACCTTGACCTTGTACCGGTTTTTCTGACCTGGTGACCTGGGGCCGATTCGAGATGGCGCACTAGGAAGCTAGTAGGACTAGGCGGCCAAGTGACACTTGAATGTAGTGACACTAAGCGGTATTTTACACCAATCGGCTAGTGGCTCAGCGCGAACCGAAATCGCATAGTGTCTAGTACACATAAATGAATAAAGACACACCAGTAAAACACTTGATACATGTGATAAAAGCGGTAATGAAAGCGACAAATAAAGGTACTCCAGTCCAGCGGGATAAAAACAACGATTTGAAATGCTACGAAGAAATACGCTGGTTCCACGCTGCAGTCGCTCTATAGAGAAACTCCTCTTCGCTAATTCGGTCCCAACTCTCGGCAACTGCAACTGTCCCCCTGTTGTTGCTCGAGTGGTTCGAGAACATACGTCGGCCTGACTGAGGAGCTTCTCTCGAAGATACTCTGAGGCGTTTGGATTTGTAAGTGTGCGTTTGATCGTAGCGTTGTCCTGTGTGCCAATGATATCCTCTATCTTTCCCCACTTAAACTGGCTTCTAGACTCTGTAATGTGGTCAAACTTTCTGAGACCCACCACAATCCTCACAGCAAAATAATTTAGAACTTTTTGCAAGCGATTTTTCTGAGTTTTATTGCAACCACCCCAGACAGTAGCGCAATACCGAATGTGAGGGAGCACCAGAGCTTCGATCAAAAGGTTGCGTGTGCAGCGTGGGATTCTGTTGCGCATCCTACCTATGCTAATGATGATCATGTTACACCTTTGAATGATGGTGGTGATGTGTGACTCCCACGTTAAGTTATCATCTACATTGACCCCCAGCACTCTTACGCTCTGCGAGGCAGACACAAATGAGTCACCGAATGAAAGTTGGATGTTCCTGTCGTCCATGTTTCTGCGCTGTGATTTGATAAAAACCATTTCAGTTTTCTCGGGATTGATTTTAAGCCTGTTCTGGAGGCACCATTCATGAGTACGTGACAAAGTGCGTTCTAGTCGGGAGTACAATGATTGAATGTTATCAGGAGTATCAAAATCGAGCAGCTGGAGATCATCTGCGTAGGCCACGATATCTTAGTGTCGCACAGGTAAGAGGTGATGTCATTAGTGTACAATAAAAACAAAACTGGTCCCAGGATCGAACCCTGGACGACCCCGTGGGTGATGGAGCGAGTCTCCGACTGGGCGAGAACAGTCTGCGAGCGGTCACGCAGCCAGCCGGCAAACCAGCGGCTCTCGATGCCGTACCAGCCCAGCTTGTCCAGAAGGCGGCCATGCTCGACACTGTCAAAGGCTTTGGACGTGTCAGCCGTGATAAGGGATGTCACGGCACCCCTGTCAATGTTCTCTGTGGCATAGGTGACAGTGTCAAGCAGGGCCGCCTCCGTGAACAAGCCGGGCCTAAAACCGTACTGTTCAGGACACAAAACATGGTGAGTCGACAGATAATTTATGAGCTGGTTGCACACCACACGCTCAGCGAGCTTCGCTACGACTGGCAGAATCGATATCGGTCTATAGTTGCCGGGATCGGCTACGTCACCCTTCTTGTGCAGTGGGGTCACGGTCGCAGCCTTCCACTCCAACGGAAGCTCACCACTCGTGATCGACAAGTTGACCAGCTTGAGCAGGTGAGGTCCGATGACCGGAAATGTGGTCCGCAACATGTGGACGGTGATGCCGTCTGGTCCGGCGGCACGCGAGGTGCTCATGCGGCTCAGAGCTGTGGAGAGTTCAGGCAGCGTCACCGGCCTGGGAGCGAAGCTGCCGCTGCAGACACGAGGTGGCCGAGGCGGCAGCCGCTCACCAGTATCGCTCTCCGCCAGAGCAGCCGCCACGCTGGGTCCTATCGAGGCGAAGTGGTCGTTGAGCTTGTTGGCCCACTGCTGGTCCGTTGCAGCTGGTGAAGTGGTCCTGGGCCGGGCCTTCCCTGAGGCAACCAGAAACTGCCGCACGTTCTTCCACGTCTTGGGTCGGGAGTACTTGTAGGAGTGCTCGAAGAACGCGGCGCAGGCCCGATTTAGTGTGGTCTTCACAGCATTGCGGCAGGTGCGGCGCTGCTGCTGAGTACTCTCGGAAGGCGCGCGGTCGCGAGCCCGGCGCGCTCGGCGGCGGGCCGCCATTGCCGCCTGCACCTCCTCGTCTCGGAGCCAAGGGTAGGCCTGATGACGGAGCTGGAGGGTACGCATCGGCATATGGTGGTCGATGATGGGATGCCAGGTGGCCAGGAAGGCGGTCCACATGTCGGAGATGTTGTCGCAGTCGGTGACGCCCGACCAGTCGGCCAGCAGGAGGTCGAGGCACATGGCGTCAGTGTTCACCCGCCGGGTGGGCCTGACGGTCACGGTGACGCGCTGCCGTGGCTCTCTGACGCCGGCGACGGTAGTGCTGATCAGGTCGTGGTCGGATATGTCGCAAGGTGTAACCCTCGTCTCGGTGGCAGTCTGCGGCCTGTTGGTTACGATGTGGTCGATCAGGGTCGGGTTCTCGCTCTGTCTGGTCGGCGAGGTCACCAGCTGATGGAGGCTGAGCTCCTGCAGCAGCCGCAGGTAGGACACAACACCGGGCTTGGCCGGTCGCAGGGTATCGATGTTGAAATCGCCGAGAAGGTATGTTGGCAGGTAGAGCACTTCATGGGCCGGATAAATCCGTTATCCACGGATAAATCCGTGGACCGGATTAGATTGGATCCCAAATTTGGAAAAATAGAACGGATCTGGGCGGGCCGGATTTGGGAATTGAATGTTGAACACGGATCAGAACGGATAAAATTGTAGCATTCAATATTCATGTTAAGAATTAGGTAACTTAACCCGCGCCCTGCTGGGGGTCCTGGATTTCCACGCCCTGCTGGGGGGGGGGTGTTTGAACACCCCCCCTTGTAACTCGGCTCCTGGGCTACGTAGCGATACGCGGAAGGCGGCGTTCGAAAGAGCGTCAAAAATAATGACGAAATCACTTCGGTCAATTTTTTGGTCAGGTCAAAGGTCAGGTCACCAGAGGTCATTGAAGGCAAAATTTCGCCGATTTCCAGGTCGAATGTCGAAAATTTCCAAGAAGCCAACGCATAACTCGGGAACCAATAGAGCTACAGCGCCTCGGAAAAGCGCATTCGATAGCCCTATTAACGCCCTTATTGAGTAATTTTCTCAGATTTGACCTAACGTCAACGGTTTTGCCTGCAGGGGGCAAAAACTGCAAAAATAGCCGATTTTTTCGGAAACAGTTTTTCTGCAATTACTTTTGACCCAAGCCTTGTACGAGCTTATTTTTACCGGCATCGTATTCCTCTCGTTAAGACGCATCGAATGAACTATGACTTGACCTTGAAAGGTCAACTTGAAAATTTGACCTCAGGTCAAGGTCATGACCTGACCGGAAAGGGTCATGTTGCATATCAGTCGATCCGTATCGTCGAGCTGAACACATCTAAGGCGTTTTCAGCGCTCTAGCATGCCTCTATCAAAAGTTATTTGCGAAAAACTGTTAGATACCATTCGTGACCTAAGATGACCTCAGGGCATAAACAAGGGTCACGGACACCATTTTCAAGTTCGGTGTGTCTAAACCACTTGTAATTCGTTGTTTGGGAGTGTTTATAATGTCTTTCATCCAAAAGAGGCGCATTTCAATTTTCTCCCATTGGCTTATAATGGGGAGGTCGCAAAATTGACCTGACCTTAGGTCATCGATATCAAAATTCTGAGATATACATTTTGTACATGCTATTGCTCTTAGCAATCGCTGAAAGTTTCAAAGCGATCGGTCACTCGGTGTAGCTATGACAGACATTGAAAGTTTTTATGAGGTGAGGTCACTTCAAGTGACCTGGTGACCTGACCTTGAATGACCTTGGTCTGAAATTTTTACAACATGTGTAGAATTGATGTATGATAAGGTGTACCAAAAACGGCGGCGCTCCGCGCCGCCGTTTTTTAGATATTCGCGAAAAACCACAAGGGGGGGTGTTCAAACACCCCCCCCAGCAGGGCGCGGGTTAACTTGTTAGGCACTGCAGCAGAAGTATTAATTGATTTACATGAGATTTATAAGCATACCTTTGTGAGCCATGATAGTCTGTAAGGTATATGGCAGCACCAACCAAATTTTTAAATATAGATGGTCACAACCAGGGATGCGGAGCCGTGGAAATTTCAGACGGCTCCGGCTCCGGCTCCGGCTCCGGAGAAAAAAATCGGCTCCGGCTCCGGCTCCGGCTCCGGGTGAAATGTCATGGCGGCTCCGGCTCCGGCTCCGGCTCCGAGTAAAATGATCCGGCTCCGGCGGCTCCGGCTCCGGCGGCTCCGGTTCCGGCTTCTACGCAGTACATCCCCTATGCGATCAATTAAATACGGGTGGAAGAAAAAAGGCGATGGGACTGGTACACGTTGCTTCTGTATTTGTATAACAAGGCTAGTTTGAATACCACATTGTTTTGCGCCTTGTACTGTTAAACCGAACTAGGTAAATAATTTTTTCTCTTTAAAAAAGGAGCCGGAGTCGCCCCCTTTTTTGACGGCTCCGGCTCCGGCTCCGGCTCCGGGCTATATTGTTTCACGGCTCCGGCTCCGGCTCCGGCTCTGGGCAAAATATGCCGGCTCCGGCGGCTCCGGCTCCGGCTCCGGCTCCGGCTCCGCATCCCTGGTCACAACATAAAATCTGCAGACTCAGCCATGTTCCTAACCGAGGAAGCGAGAACAACCGCCATGGCATCATATCCACCATGGCTCGCTGGTTCCTGAATAAGATACGAATCATGTAAAAAAATGTGTTAATAACTCACTTGTCCTGAGAACAGTCCCCATATAATATGTATAAAAACGATAATGCGTTCTCGAATTTTTCAATCTTCCAGACAGCAACAAACACTGCGCAAGGTTAGAAACACATGCGCAATAACAGATGCTTTTAACCCGCGCCCTGCTGGGGGTCCTGGATTTCCACGCCCTGCTGGGGGGGGGGGTGTTTGAACACCCCCCCTTCTAACTCGGCTCCAGGGCCACGTAGCGATACGCGGAAGGCGGCGTTCGAAAGAGCGTCAAAAATAATGAGGAAATCACTTCAGTCAATTTTTTTGGTCAGGTCAAAGGTCAGGTCACCAGAGGTCATTGAAGGCAAAATTTCGCCGATTTCCAGGTCGAATGTCGAAAATTTCCAAGAAGCCAACGCATAACTCGGGAACCAATAGAGCTACAGCGCCGCGGAAAAGCGCATTCGATAGCCCTATTAACGCCCTTTCTGAGTAATTCACTCAGATTTGACCTAACTTCAACGGTTTTGCCTACAGGGGGCAAAAACTGCAAAAATAGCCGACTTTTTCGGAAACAGTTTTTCTGCAATAACTTTTGACCCAAGCCTTGTACGAGCTTACTTTTACCGGCATCGTGTTCCTCTCGTCAAGACGCATCGAATGAACTATAACTTGACCTTGAAAGGTCAACTTGAAAATTTGACCTCAGGTCAAGGTCACGACCTGACCGGAAAGGGTCATGTTGCATATCAGTCGATCCGTATCGTCGAGCTGAACACATCTAAGGCGTTTTCATCGCTCTAGCATGCCTCTGTCAAAAGTTATTTGCGAAAAACTGTTAGATACCATTCGTGACCTAAGATGACCTCAGGGCATAAACAGGGGTCACGGACACCATTTTCATGTTCAGTGTGTCTAAAACACTTGTAATTCAGTGTTTGGGAGTGTTTATAATGCCTTTCGTCCAAAAGAGGCGCATTTCAATTTTCTCCCATTGACTTATAATGGGGAGGTCGCAAAATTGACCTGACCTTAGGTCATCGATATCAAAATTCTGAGATATACATTTTGTACATGCTATTGCTCTTAGCAATCGCTGAAAGTTTCAAAGCGATCGGTCACTCGGTGTAGCTATGACAGACATTGAAACTTTTTATGAGGTGAGGTCACTTCAAGTGACCTGGTGACCTGACCTTGAATGACCTTGGTCTGAAATTTTGACAACATGTGTAGAATTGATGTATGATAAGGTGTACCAAAAACGGCGGCGCTCCGCGCCGCCGTTTTTGAGATTTTCGCGAAAAACCACAAGGGGGGTGTTCAAACACCCCCCCCCCAGCAGGGCGCGGGTTAACCAGCTGAATAAAACGCTGCAAAAAAAGTTTTAAACTTGGCGCAATGCCTCGTGGATGATTTTTTTAGAAATAAAAACGATCCAAGACGATATTAAATTCTGATGTTATCAACATTTTCAGTGTAAATGACGCCAAAAAAAAATATTTTCTGATCAGAAATTCAACTTAAAGGGTAAACGAATCAATATTACGTCATCAGCTCGCCTATTTCATAAAGAGAGAGCGGATCTTAAAAAAATCAATCCTTGCTTGCTTTTTTGCGCCACTATCGTCAATTTTGTCTGTGTATTGTGTTGTGTCATCTTGTTGATACGACAAAATGCCGGTTTAACTTATCTTCCTTTCATTTTAGGACCAAAGTCAGGCTCAAGGCTATTTAATACCTACCTTTTCAGCTGGGTTTTCAGTGTCAAATTCTTTGTAGAGTGTGTCAGACCACATTCCAAGGCTAGTTTCCAAACAATGTGTTTTGAGATGTTTTGATTCTGCCTTTTCCCATATAGAATGTTGCCAATGTCATGAAACTTTATTTATTCATTGTATTATACTTATTATTACCTACCATTTGACTTACTAATTGATTGTGGTTTTGCTATATGAATATGTACTCTTCCTTTTATAGACCACAGTAGATTCTTAACAATTCTAATGATAGCCAACCTTGTGAAATGCTGAGGTCCATGTCAATGTGTTACCCCTATCCTTAGCAATGCAGCTTTTACCACAAAATGTATTTTGCAGTGGCTAAGATTGCTGTTATTACAATTTGATAGCTTCCTAGTGTCCAACGTTTGGATCTTATGGCGATATGCTGATAGTCTCACAACCGGTTTGTAATGAAACGGATTATTATGGATATTTTTTGGATGTATGGCTGAGATACGGGCCATGGGCGGGCCGGATTTTGAAATTCAAAGAAACACGGATAATGGGCGGATCTGGATATGACTTGCCGGATATGGGCCGGGCCGGATCCTGAAAAGCCTATCCGTGAAGTGCTCTATTGGCAGGTCATTAGCTAGGACGTCCGCAAGTTGCCGCTGAAGGTCTTCCAGGGCTGGAGTCATCCGGCTGGATGGCGGCCGATAGCCGACGCCGACGATGATCTTGGCGTGGTCACCGACCTGCAGCCAGAGGGTCTCAAGGGCGGAGCCGGCAGCGGGGGTTTGCAGCTCCTTGGTCCGTAGTTCGCTGCGAAGGAGGATGGCCACACCACCCGCGCTACCCCCGCCCGGCCGGTCCCGCCTCAGGATCTGATAACCGGGAACGATCAGCGTGCGGTCATCGACGTCACTATTGATAAAGGTCTCGGTGAGGCAGATGATGTCAAGCCGGTAGGTCATCAGCAGCTGGGCCAGCTGGTCCAGGTGGGCAGTCACGGATCGGATGTTGAGATGTCCGAGTCTCATGGGCGCTGCTACAGCTGCAGGGGCAGCCGCCCGCCGCGTCTGTCGTAAGGTGAGACGCGGCGGTTCGACCAGCGCGGCACCATCAGTCGGCACCGGCGCGGCGCAGTGTCGCCGGACTGCATCCCTGTCGGCTCGATGGCGCCTCTCCTGTATTCGCCGCCCGGCGCGGACGCCCCGTCGCCCGGACCGGCCGGTCCGTCCCCTACCGGACAGCCGGCATCCGGACACAGCAGCGGCGCGGTCCGCGGGCGGTCCGGCCGCCCCGCCGCTCCACGGCCCGACCCCACCGGCCACCGGCAGCCAGGCCGGCCGCAGCCGCGGCGGCTGACCTTGACCACGCCGCAAGCTTGGTCAAGCTTGCGGCGTGGTCAAGGTCAAGCTTGTACCTTGAGGTCTGTTTTGCTGTTGGGCAGCTGTAAGGTCATGTGACGTCATCAAAGGTCACCAAAGTTTTTTTGTCAATAACTCAGTACAGGAACAAGATGCAGCCGCGCGGATGGTCTCATTGTGTTCAGCTCGTCAAGACGCATCCAATGATATACATGATGACCTCGAGGTCACGTGACCTGAGGTCAACCTTTGACCTTGACCTTTCGAGATCAACATATATATTTTTCGATGCGGATTGACGAGAGGATCACGATGATGCCCTTAGTTTGTTCCTATCCTCACTAATCCGAAAGTTATTCGAGAAAAACTCTCCATATCTAGCGCCGCCATTTTAACTTTTTTTACCCCTGTGACGTCATTTTTGACCTGACCTGAAAATGACCGTTGTAAAAATTGTAGACCTTGTCTGTGCGTATCCGATGCCGTTTACCGCTTGTCGCTATCTTGCTTCGTTCTCGAGATCTCAGGGGGGGGGGGCGGTCATCCGCCCCCCCCCGTCGGTACTAAGTTGGCGCAGACCCCCGTCGGTGCGCGTGCTAACAGGACGTCTATAGAGCTTTGACTTACATTTCTTCCTCGTTCAGGAGCAACGTTTTAACCCTCACCGGACCTTCAGGTTTTCTGAATACCGAGGGGCGTTGGGGGGTTGGAAGTGAGGAAACAACCCCCTTCGCCGATTCGCAAAGCCCTTGTTATTCGATGCGGATTGACGGCGGCTGCTTAACGGATTGATTCGATGCGGATGAAGGGCTTAAAGCCCTTGTTTCGTTTAGTTGTCGTTTATCGGTTCGAAATGGAAATATATAAACGGATTAAAGCGATTTATTTGCTGCGAAACGTTAAGCCGAAAGAGATACACGAAACGTAAACAATTATGGCGAGCGCCAGCCCACGTCCCGTGCGCCAGTCACGCCGCTTGGCGCGCACGGTCAGCTGGCGCCGGCAGGGGCGCTCACAGGCACCGGGCCCAGTGGGGCCGCAGAGGCGGTCCAAGTAGGGGGCCTCGGGGGGGCCTATACACAAACACAACATCTCCCCCTCGAGACAACAGTCGTGAAAACACCAAAAACACAACACTGCACGACGTTGTCTTACTCCTCATACGAGGTCGCACCCCAACGAACTGGGAGCCGACCAGGGCCGCGGCGCTGCCGTTGAGAACGACGCGGGAGAGCGGCGGCGGCGGCCGTCTCCACCTCGGGTGACCACACCGGCGGCGAGCGGCACACAGGCGCACCAGCGGCGGGTCGGACTGCCCGCTCGGCGGCGACAGCGGTGCGCTCTGGCAGCGGCGGCGGCGGCGGCGGCTGGGGCGCACCAGCAGCGGGCGGGCGCGGGGCGGACGGAGCCACAGGCGGGGTGGGCTCCGTCAGAAGCGGCCGGTACGGGCGGAGGTAGCGGCGGTTCCGCCACAGGACCCTGCCGCTGGCCGTCTTGACGAGGTACGTGCGCCTCTGACCGACGCCCACGATCACTCCAATCCGGTTCCATCGGCCGGTGGTGGGGTCTTGTATGTCGACGCGGCTGCCGAGCTTCAGCGCTGGCAGCCGGCGCGTGCTCTTGTTATAGCACCTGGGGCATTCCACGTCAAATCAAACACCGAAATCCGTCATCCCCTTCGATTTTTCTGAAAATTTGTAGGCAGACTGGGCATGGTTCAAAACTGAGTTACGTATAATATTTTCGAAATTTGATAACGTATTGCTGAGATATAGGTCATCGAATATAGCGAAAAATGCCACACATCAATTTTTTAAATGGCTATAACTCTGGTTCCTTTTCTGGTATCAAAATGATATTAACAGGGTCTTATAGGCAATTGATAAGGCTTTGATTTTTAATTATAAAATTAAATTGAAGTGACCTTGAAATGCATTTGACCTTGAATTAAAACAGAAAAATTTAAATAGCAAAAAACACGTCACCTTCGATTTGGGTAATTTTTACATATTATGTCCGTCACAATGTTCCTAACCATCTGTGAAAAAATTGGAGTGGGCCATTCATAACTTTCGCGGCAAACGCTGTTTTCATGCATCAACATCACGCAACCGCGCGTGACCTTGAAAGACAGCGTCAAGACATGCTTGCTTGTGCACACTTTCTGAAATGAATGATTGCTGATTAGTGATATCCCAAACTCTGCGAGAATGGAAATGCATAGTCATCGTAGTCAAGCATTCACGTTCCATAGTAAAAGTGTCTCAGGCAAACGGTATTTTGCGGTGAATTTTGAGCCGTGTGGAAATGCATCATGAAGTAAATTCAACGAAAACATTATCACGCAACGATATCTTCACGTCTTTTGATCTTCACTATACGAAAGAACATACATTTTTTAGTATGAATGGGGAATTTCTAGTTAATCCAATAATAAATATGGCAGTTAGAGGCCTGCTAAGAGTAACATGTCGCCGGCTGAGGCGGGCTCGGCCGATGCGGGAAACAAAGCAATCACAATTTTGTGTTTACACGTTCATATTTCAATTGTTTACCAACCGATTTTCAAAATTCTTTCACCATAAGATTGCCTGTACATTTCTTAGTCTTCTCACAAAATTTGACGCGAATCGAATGTAATCAGCGGTAGGGAGCGCGATGTAAAGACGGAACCGTTCCGTTCCGTCCCGGCACAGTCTACAATTCAGGCGGCGCGTAGCGGTCGGCGCCGGCTGCCGAGTCGCCGCGTCGCTGCGGCGACAGGATGTTCACTTTACACCGCTATTACTAGAACAGTTGTGAACCGATTTTCTTATTGTTTGCACGATGAGATGTCCAATTCAATTCTTGACAGGTAGCCATAATTAATTTCGCATTAATCTTATGAGATATTGGCGAAAAACAGGAGGGGTGGGCGAAATTCGCTCTTCCCCCTCCACTGCGCGTGCTAACATACGTTTGCATATGTGCAATTTTCTTCAAAACTTATGAATGGCCCACTCTAATTTTTTCACAGGTTGTTAAGAATATGGTAGGCAATAAAATATATGAAAATGAGCCAAATCGAAGGTGACGTGTTTTTTGCTATTTTAATATTTGTGCTTAAGAACAGAGTTAAGCAAATTTCAAGGTCATATATTTAATTAGGTGCAATTCTAAACAAATGCTTAAGAAATTACCTAAATAGTAAGGTTTATTTCATTCAAATCAAACAAGTACAACCAAAGTTATGGTCGTTCAAAAATATAAAGATGCAACATTTTGTAAAAATTTGATGCCCTATATTTAGAAGACCTGTGGTCAGAATGTGCAAAAAACATCAATGTAATGTCCGGGGCCACACAGGAACTCGCTCACAAATTTATAATAAAATCGCTGATGGTAAGGTGCAAAACAGCCGATTTTTGTTCGATTTGACGTGGAATGCCCCACCTGACGGCCTGCTCCTGGAGCTCGGCAGCCTTTTCCTCGCAGAGAGCGGCCGCCCGCTGCCACTCCGGAGCGAAGGCGCGGTGGTGCGTGGGAACACCGGAGCGCAGCGGGTGACCAAAGAGCACCTGTGCCGGCGACCGCCCGTCTGCTCGGGGCGTGTTACGGAGTTCGAGCAGACTTCGGTCCAGTTGGTCCTGGTCCAGTTGGCCCGATGAAGACGCAGCCAGCACCAGCTTCTTTGCTGTCTTCACGCAGGCCTCCGCGTGCCCGTTAGAGCGCGGGTAGTGCGGTGATGACATCTCATGTCGTACGTCCCAGCGCTGGAGGAACCGGCGGAGCGTGCCCGATGCAAACTGGGGTCCGCCGTCTGACCGGAACACGGTCGGGACGCGAGAACATCAGTCGGAGCTGCCGCGTCAGGTGGTCCGCCGAGGCCGTGCGGGGACACACAGTGACATACGGCCACCCGGACAGCCGGTCCACGTACACCAGGTACGTGTGTCCTCCAGCGGAGAAGTAGTCGGCCGAGACTGATTCGAAGACGCGCGTCGGTGCGCCGTCCTCCCGCCACATCGGCTCCCGAGCGTGACTGGGCAGGCGCTGACGGCACTGAGCGCAGGCGGCGACGGTGTCAGCGATCTGTTTGTCTATGCCCGGCCAGTACACACTGAGCCGGGCACGGCGCTTGGTGCGGTCGACGCCCTGGTGTGAGGCATGGAGCTTCTCCAACACACCGCGCCGGAGGGCGGACGGGACGACCAGCCGAGCGCCATATACCACCAGCCCGTCGTCGATGGCGAGCTGATGGCGCACTCCCCAGTAAGCTCGCACTGCCGGGGGCGCCTCGTGCCGGTTCTCTGGGAATCCGGCGAGGATCACATCACTGAGAGCCCGGTGCTCGGGGTCGCGCTCCGCGGCGGCGCGGACTCTCTCGAGTGCTGAGTCGATCAGCGGGGCCAGCTGGACGCCGTCTTCCGACCGATCGGAGGCCTGCAGCGCGGCAATGACGCAGGCGTGTAGCGGGTCGTCCGCTGCGTCCACCTCTCCGTCGTCGGCGGCGGCGGGATCGCTGGTGGGCGCTCGTGAGAGCGCGTCTGGGATCACGTGACTCGAACCCTTCTGCCAGCTGGTGGTGAAGCTGTAGGCCGACAACTTCTCTCTCATCCTCTGCAGACGCGGGTTGTCGATCGAGTTGAGCTGCTTGTAGTTCAGGATGGTCACCAGCGGCCGGTGGTCGACCACCAGGTCGAAGTGCGGCATGCCAGCCAGGTAGACATGACACTTCTTGCAGGCCCAGAGTACAGCAGCCAGCTCCACCTCGATGACGGCATACCGACTCTCGGTATCTGTCAGGAACCGTGAGCCATACTGGACCACACGCCAGTCCTCGCCGTGCTTCTGGAGCAGTGCAAAACCCAGCCCTCGGGTTTTAGCAGCGTCAGTCTGTAGCACGGTAGGCAGCTGCGGGTCGAAGAATGCCATCACCGGCAGTGACGATAGCACAATCTTCGTGTGCAGAAACGCTGCCTCGTGCTGCTCAGTCCAGCGCCAGACCCGGCGCGACTTGAGGAGGTCTCTGAAGGCCTGAGTCGAGCCTGCCAGCTCCGGTGTGAGGCCGCTCAGCTGATTCACCAGACCCATGAAGGACCGCAGGTCGGTGACGTTTTCCGGTCTCGGAAAATCAGCGATGGCGCGGGCCTTCTCATTGTCGGTGGTGTAGCCGGCCGGTGTGATCTTGTAGCCGCAGAATTTGACCTCATTCTGGGCGAACTTGAACTTCTGCGGGTTCAGCGTGATTCCTCGGTCGTCACAGCGCCGGAGGACTTCGATCACCTGCTGCAGGTGTTGCCGGTACGTCTGTGCCACGGCCAGGATGTCATCAACAATTTTGACACAGTTTGGGATGTCGCCGAGCGCTGCATCGCCGCGCCGGTTGTACTCGTCTCCAGACGCACTACATCCCATCGGACAGCGGACGAACTTGAACCTGCCCCACGGCGTGATGAAGCAGGTGAGGTCCTGACTTGACTCAGCGAGCGGCACCTGGAAGTAGCCCATCTTGGCGTCCAGAGTCGACATCCATCGGTGCCCGGCGGGCAGACTCGTCACGGCATCGTGAGGAGACCGGCAGGGGTACGTGGGTCGATTCACGTACCGATTGAGTCCCGTCAGGTCCACGCAGAGTCGAAACCCGGACGGGTTCTTCGGCACGCACGAAATGGGATGACACCATTCCGTCGGGTATGTAGTCCACGGGTATGATGATGCCGCGGTTCAGCAGGTCGTCCAGCTGCGCCTTCACCTCCGCCCGCCAGGCGAAGGGAATCGGTCTCGCGGCGGTGACCGACGTCGGACTCGCGTCGGGCCGGAGCTCGATCTTCATCGGGCCGCCGTCCATGACTCGGAGAGTCGAATCTTGCCCGAACACGCGCGGGAAACACTGCACCAGAGCGGCGGCATGAGCGGCACGGACCGCCTCCGGTGGGTCTGAGTCGCTGTTCCAGGCCGGCAGCGGACCGCCGAGGCTGGCGGCCGTGCTGGGTCCATCGGCCGGCGGCGCCGGCCCGCCGGTCTCGGCCCCGGTGGCCGGACAGAGCCTGTCACGCGGCGTCTCACACGGGGTAGGGCGGTCGCTGGCGCATCGAGCAGAGCCGGCAGCGGCCGGCAGTGCAGACGGTGTGACGTCATCAGAGGGTGTGACGTCACCAGACAGAGTGGCATCGTCAGTGGGGCGCGGTGCGTCCTCGACAGACCGGATCTGTGCCGGAAAATCCCTCGGCAGAATCCCCAGCGCCACACAGTCGAACCAGCTGAGTAGCAGGCCCGTCATCTCCTTGATGACGAACACGGCGGCGGTGGTCGATCGGTCGCCCAGCTCCAGAGCAGCCTGGAACGACCCGATACAGGTGAGCGGGTGTCTCCCCACTGCTGAGAAGGGCTGGCCGATACAGGGCTCCAACTGCGCTGGTTCCACGCAGATAGAAGACAGGCTGTCTTCTCCGATGACTGTCGCCTCGGCACCGGAGTCGGCCCGGGCCGCCATGGTGAACACACCAGCTGCGGTGGACAGTCGAACAGACACGGGAGGCGTCGGCCGTGTAGAGACGCCGTTTACATAGACGTCTCGTATTAGACGGCCGATGTGCGGCTCTGGTGCTGCGTGCTCGACGGGGGCAACGGTGCTCTCGCGCGCCACCTGGACACATACCACTGCAAAGTGGCCGCGCTGGCCGCACGAGTTACAGGTGGCGCAAGTGGCGCGGCACGCCGCCGGGTCTGCGTGGGCGGCCCGCCCGCAGCGGCAGCAGCGCGCGCCGGCCGCGGAGCGCCCGCCAGGTTGGGCCGCGGGGCGCGCATCGCGCGCCAGGGGGCGGCGCACGCCAGCTGCACCCGCGGAACGCCCGCCGGGTTGGGCCGCGGGGCGCGCATCACGCGACTTTGACCGGCGGTACGCTGACAGCCGGTTCAGCGATGCGTTCGGCGCGCGGAGGTCAGAGCAGGTAGCGCGGGCGTTTTCCGACGCACGACAGATGTCTACGGCTTTCTTGAGGTCGAGTTCTGGATCCTCCAACAGCCGTTTCACTGTTTCTTCACCTCGCAGGCCGCACACGATCTTATCACGCAAACGTGAGTCGTAACAATGCGTGCAAAAGTCACAAAACGCTGCGAGTTCCTTCGTATCACACAAAAACTCATCAAAGTTTTCGCCCTCCTCCTGTACCCGGGCGTAGAAGGCTCGACGGTCCACCAGGACACTGCGTTGTTTTCGGAGGTGGCTCTCCATTGCGTCCACCACCTCGGAGAGGGGAGAATCGTCCGTGACGCTGAGGCCGTAACGCAGCACCCGGTGCCAGTCCTCGTCGAGGAGGCTTAGGAGAGCGGCTCGCTGGGCAGTAACGGGTAGTGATGACGCGCCAGTGAGAAGCATATAGCCATCCAGCTTCTCCCTCCAAACGGCGAAGTCACGCAGCGAAGTAGATGATGACAGATGCGGCGCCGGTGTCGCGGCAGCCGGCAGTCGCACGGGCGGGGCGGTCGCCGTGGGCCGGGTCGCCGGAAGTGCATCGTCCCCAACGACAAGAGCAGGCGGCTGTCGATCAGCGACTAGCCGTTCCACGAGCTGACCGAGACGCTCCTCGCGCTGCGCCGACAGCTCGGCCTGCTGCAGGAGCAGCTGGGTCAGCTTATCAATGTCACTCATCACGTATTACTGTTTACTGTACTTTAAAATCCGCACACATAACCACTAACCGACCGCGCCATGTTTAGTTGTCGTTTATCGGTTCGAAATGGAAATATATAAACGGATTAAAGCGATTTATTTGCTGCGAAACGTTAAGCCGAAAGAGATACACGAAACGTAAACAAGTATGGCGAGCGCCAGCCCACGTCCCGTGCGCCAGTCACGCCGCTTGGCGAGCACGGTCAGCTGGCGCCGGCAGGGGCGCTCACAGGCACCAGGCCCAGTGGGGCCGCAGAGGCGGTCCAAGTAGGGGGCCTCGGGGGGGGGGCCTATACACAAACACAACAGTTAAGGCCGTGTTACACTGCCGAATTTTGGCCACGACCCTGTCGCCGAATCACGTCGTGTAGGAAATCGGCGAACAGTTCACCGACAGAGGCGAACAGTTCGCCGACAGAGCCCGATTTGCAGACAACGGGTGGGGGCCCCCCTAATCGTGCACGGGTCGAAGCTGATCCATGATTCGGCGAACATCGCGAATGAATGGCGAATCTGTTGCGAATAGTCGGCGATACCTTTGCAACAAGTCGGCGCACGTAGCGACGTGTCGGCGGTGACTCGGCGAGTGTTTGGCGATCATGTTCGTTTATTATAAATTCGGCGAACGGCCACGAAATTTTCATTTTTCATGAAATATTCGTGGCGGTCGTGACGAACCGTAAAAGTCGCGCGGTGGGCACCGACTGGTCTGCGAAATGCCAAGACCGTGGAAGAAAGATCCCGAATCGATCCGCGACATAGGATGACTTGCATATTCGTGCACATTCGTGTACCAAAATTCGGCAGTGTAACAAGGGCTTTACACTGCCGAATTTTGGTACACGAATGTGCACGAATATGCAAGTCATCCTATGTCGCGGACCGATTCGGGATCTTTCTTCCACGGTCTTGGCATTTCGCAGACCAGTCGGTGTCCACCGCGCTACTTTTACGGTTCGTCACGACCGCCACAAATATTTCATGAAAAATGAAAATTTCGTGGCCGTTCGCCGAATTTATAATAAACGAACATGATCGCCAAACAGTCGCCGAGTCGCCGCCGACACGTCGCTGCGTGCGCCGACTTGTTGCCAAGGTATCGACGACTATTCGCAACAGATTCGCCAGTCATTCGCGATGTTCGCCGAGTCATGGATCAGCTTCGACCCGCGCACGATTAGGGGGGCCCCCACCCGTTTTCTGCAAATCGGGCTCTGTCGGTGAACTGTTCGCCTCTGTCGGTAAACTGTTCGCCGATTTCCTACACGACGGGATTCGGCGACAAGGTCGTGGCCAAAATTCGGCAATGTAACACGGCCTTAACCCGCGAGTTGCTGGGGGGGGGCGTTAAACGCCCCCACTTTTTTCGCCGGGCCATAGCATAAAAACGGCGCGCCGCAGGCGCGCCAAATTTTGGGTACCTGTAAGGAATTGATTGAAGTTTATTGTGACAAAGTTTCAAAAAAATCGGTCGGAAAAATTTTTGAGACATCGAGGTTTTAGTGACGTCATGATTTCTGAGTTTTCGACCAAAAACGGCAGATGTTCAAAAAATCATATAAAATCACAGAATAGACATACAGACATGCCGTAAACGCCATTAGACTGCCAATACCATTAACAATCAAATGGCTATCTTCGATTATTGATTATCGTTCCGCATTTTCCAAAATCTTGAACTGAATCTTGGCAATTTATCGTGACTACTTCACGACCATGATACATGCATTTCTTAAATTGAGGTTTTTGAGCCAAAAACGTACACATATGATAAAATGAATGTGACCATCGTGTTCTACGCCCCAAATTACCCATAAAACATGTGTCACAGGCTGCGAATATCAGTTTTGATTTTCGGGGATATGTGCCTACCCGGTTGACCTGACCTTGACCCTGACCTATGCTTGATTGACCCCTACATGGAGCTGACACTCTTGTAGGCCTTATATGATGGATTGTGCACCGTTTTAACAGAGTTTATGACGAGAGGCGCCCATTGCGAAGTCCTGAAATCCATGCTACTGAAAGCCCGATTTCAGGTGTTTGACCTGACCTTGACCCGACCTGTGACCTCAAAATTCAACTTTGAAATACTCATCTGAAGCGTCTCGTCGCGTTCTTTCGTTTGCCGCCTCGTGCGTTTCGCTGCGCCTATTGGTTCTCGAGTTATCGGCTGGGGGCGTTTAACGCCCCCCCCCCCCCAGCAAACGGTGGGTGGCGAAATGCCCCAGAAACTGCCGGGTTAACTGAGCTAGAGCCTCACGAAAGAAACGATGGTGTGCGTACTGCGTCGTTACGAAATGCACCGATTGGTCCCCGAATTTAAGGACTCAGGTCAGCCGATGAATTCTGAGGTCAGGTCAAGTGGCCCAAGGCACAGGTTCGGTTTTTGGTAAATAACTTCGCCAAAAATGATCTCAGATCCGCGATTTTGGCAGCATCGTGTTTGTCTAGCTCAGGCGTATTAAATGGTATGCCTTTTCTTCGGGTGAGATCAACTTTAAGGTAGTGTGCCAGCTTTCTTGGACCATATGGAGTTAATGACCCGGATAAGGAGAACCGGATTTTTAGAACTTATCCATACCTTCAAAACTCATGGAAACGTCTTAAATTCTTCAAATTTTGAGTACCCCAGTGCGAAATTCGCCCCGACGGATTGTCGGTCGTACCCCAACCACATTTCACACCACTATGAACAATAAATGCACACACTAAAATCGCTATTACTGATAGGCTCATCCAGTCAAGTTTCGATAAACCCGTTCATCATCATCTCCTGCGGTTTCGAACACGACTGTTAGGTGGCTTCTGATGCTCGTCGAGGTCGGAATTTCCAAATACGCGTGGTGCGTCGGGCCGCGCGCTCTGACTTCGGCCAAGAAAAATGCGTCAGCTGATCATTGTCATTTCTGCCACTTGCGTGTAGTGAAATGGGGTCATAACTTAAGAGACGGCTGTTTCATATAAATTATTTCACATAAAATCATATTTCAAACCATAAATTAATGTTCGACAGCCAAATTAAAGAAACAATACCAATACAGGCTTACAGTTTAGTTCGACATTGTGTTGTCTACGATTAGACAGCTGATAACTCATTCCCGTACGTCGTAACTCTATAATGACCTTTGCTCATTGTCGTGCGCCGCATTCGCGATTGTTGCCGACGCCTGTTTGCAAGTCAGCCCACTACAGTTGTTATACATATCGAAAAACCGATAAACTTTTAGGCAAAAAAGGCACTATTCCAGGCCTATTTTTGATTTTTTTTTGCGATATTAGGTAAAAACAGAAGCTTCTTATCCTAGGAAAAATAAAATGGGAAATCATTGGAAGGTGGCACACTACCTTTAAGGTGTTATTCTCGGGTGTGTTTTGCAGCGCTATTAGTTCGACATGTAATTATAAATCAATGCTAATTTCGATCCAGATATCGTTATTCAATGCTGGCCTCTGCGTCCTAAAAAAAGTGGTTTATAGTCATGATGGCTTGCATTGACCCATAGGGGAAGGTGGGGTAAGACGGACCAGCTAAGGTTTGAGGCCGCATATCTTGCTACACTGCTCTGGTAATTCATATTATTTATAGTCTTCGGAATGCTCAATCCTTCCTCTGTTGATATGTGTAAAGACTAAATTTCAAATTAAAGACATCTAGGTGGTGGATGCTCTTAAGAGGGACATGTCAAAAACTCAGACAAGAAAAAACGTGGGGTAAGACGGATCACCCAGCAGTGACTGCTATCCGTTCATGTGTGTTACACTTCTGCTCTCTACTCTTGTAAGAAAAAGTAACCAGAATGGTAAAATAACAAAATGAGCCTTTATCCTTTACTCATGTGTGATGGAAGTGCAGCTAATGTGTGTTGATTGTCGTTTGGCATGAATGCATGCTAACTGAGCACTTGCATGCATGGCTCACATACAACAAAGACTCCTTCCTGAAAAATTAGCTTACTTAAACTTGTGTCAATGTTTTGGAAAAGAACTTTCCATATGCAGGGTACAATGGACCACCACAGGGTAAGATGGACCACAGTGGTCCGTCTTGCCCCAAATCTAAATTCTGTCATTATCATATGACGTTATTATTATTACATAGACGTATTGATATAAATGGGAAAGGCAATGGGAACGTGTTGTTTTTATATTAACCCGCGCACCGACGGGGGGGGGGGCGGATATCCGCCCCCCCTGAGGTTTTTCGCGGATAGCGGGAAAACCGCGGCGCGTAGCGCCGCGAAATTTGGTATGACTATTCTCTCATCAATTTTACACATGGTGTGCAAGTTTGAACCTCCTATCTTTTAAGGTCAGGTCACCAGGTCACTTTGAATGACCCAACCTCAAGTCACTTTTTTGCAACTTTGTCACCGTGCCAGAGCTACAGTAGATGTCGGAGGCCTTTGAAAGTCGCAGGATGTCATTAGGTCATTAGTAGCTACAATTTGTATATCTCGGAATTTTGATGTCGGTGACCTAAGGTCAGGTCAATTTCGCGACCTCCCCATTATAAGTCAATGGGGGAAAAATCAACTCCCTGTTTTTACCACTAAAACGGGTCGGAATGGCCCCATATACCATACATGACTTCACATACGATCAACCTTCACTACCTTGAGGTCTGTTTTGCTGTTGGGCAGCTGTAAGGTCATGTGACGTCATCAAAGGTCACCAAAGGTTTTTTGCCAATAACTCCTTACAGGAACAAGATACAGCCGCGCGGATGGTCTCATTGTGTTCAGCTCGTCAAGACGCATCGAATGATATACATGATGACCTCGAGGTCACGTGACCTGAGGTCAACCTTTGACCTTGACCTTTCGAGGTCAACATATATATCATTCGATGCGGATTGACGAGAGGATCACGATGATGCCCTTAGTTTGTTCCTATCTTGACTACTTCGAAAGTTATTCGAGAAAAAACCCTCTCCATATCTAGCGCCGCCATTTTGACTTTTTCGACCCCTGTGACGT